TTCGATGATATGAGGCTAAATTTATGGTTAATGCTATAGATGCGACGAAGAACAACCGCATCGATCAACGGGAGAAAACTAACGTGGTTAAGTCTTTCAAGATTCTTAACCTCTCGGTGCAGCGCCGCCCGTGCAGTTTGGATTTGCAGGGGGTCGCCTTCCAACTTCATCACTTTGATAGCGAATAGATTGCCGGTTTTCTTGTCAACGGCTTTGTAGACAGTACCAAAGGCTCCACTGTCATCACCACCTAGGCGCTCGCGGGCCTCCTTTACCTCCTCGAAGAGTTGGCATTTGGCTGTGTTCAATCTGGTTACGTGCCACGACTGCGCTTCGGTATGGTCGTAATCCGACGGCCGGTCTCGAGATCCGAAGGCGGCCATGCGCTGCAGGCAACTGTTGTAACCCTGTAGAGCAAGGTCCTTGAGAAGAGCGATGTTCTGTCCGAGGGTGGAAGAGAGTGTTCGCTAGACGAGCTTGAATTCGTAGGAGGCCGCGGGACCGCAGCCATCGCGCGGCGATGACCCCGCCGCCAGATGCCCCCCAACCGCCCGCGCCCCGCCGTAGCGAGAGGATTAAAAGCTTGAAGCGCCAGGCCGTGCCACTCTCATCTCAAGACGCCCCGCCGAACAAGCGGATACGTTTCGTCCGAGAAGTCGCGGAGCCTCCTACGGTTCAGACCGGTACTAAGACGACAAGGCCAAAGTCAGGCTCCAGCTGTACACTACCGAAAAAGGACGAGGACGCCGCCGAGACGGGACGGGGCCGTGGCCGCCCGAAAAAGGAAACTATGGCGAATGAGTTCCCTAGCAAGGAGGGGGAGGCTGACGCCACGCTCAAGCGAGGCCCCAAAAAGTCTGCAGGAAAGAAAGGGGTGCCCGCCAACACCACCCCCAAGCGTGGCCGGGGTCATCCGAAAAAAGAGCCCGACATAGCCAAGATACCTGTCCCGCTACCGAAAATCGGAAAGGCTGCCCAGGCCATTAGTGGGCCCTCCAAACGGGGACGCGGGCATCTAAAGGAGCCAAGCACGGACAAGTCGACCAGTGTACAACAGCAGCCACCGGATAACAGGCGAGGTATCCGGAAGGGTGCGCCAGCTGTTATTAAGAGCGCTTCTATATCACCAACTCCGCCGGCCGCGTTGCCAGTACCCGGGCGGCGTCGGGGCAGGAGCCAAAGGCAAACTTGATCAGTTGAGACATAGATCAATGGTATTGGGAAGATCGAACCCGATTGCAATGGAGGCATTCCGTGCCTGCACTTGCCCCTGGCCGCCGTGGGCCGAGCGAGAGCCAGGCCACTAGCCGCGTCGGTACTCGAAGAGGGCTTCAGTCCCGCCGGTGTAGGAGGCAACGCAAAGGATGGCTTGGCTTTGGTGATGGCCACTAACCTATACACCATCTCGCCCTCTGGGGGTGGCTCTTGGTCTTGGGTCTGTCTTAATAGCTGTTGTGAGTGCGGGGCGCAATGGGGGGACCAGAGATGCTCGACGACGCTACGAACGTGTTGTGTGGGCATCAAGAGTGGCCAGTCGCCACAGCTCGGGGCGAAAATGGTTGCTAGTGCCTCCCGATAAGTACGGTCATCTTCGAACTTGGTTACAAACTGACAGGTTTTATAGGCGGCGACAGGAGGTTAAATTGTTTACGGAATGGCGACGGTGCTAAGGAGGGGAAAGAAAGGCTTCGTTTACTATCCCGAGCGTACAAGAAGTGCCAGTAGCGGTAGCGAATACAA